ATCAAGAGTACATGATGATTTCAGAAAATGCAGACGTGTGATACACAAACTGTCAGGCTGTCAACAATTTTTAGGAAATGGTTTTAAAAATGTTTAATTCTATTGTTATTCTTTTAAAGGGGAAGTGCACCTTTGTTTATATTTCCTAAAGAGTCCCTTGTGTGATGCCAAATACAGTACATTATTACTAAATTGCATTAGTGGACACCACCATAACTACAGGCTGGCATTTGTATTGACAGTCATTTCACCAGCCCCAAAATATAGAAAGGAGAGGTATTGAGCTGAAGATGGAGGGAGTGGTTTGTGCCAGTCTCCGCCTCCTTTTGTGCAATATTAAATAATTTCCTTGAGTGAATGCTCCGCCCCCTATACATGCTAAGCTCCTTTCACATGGTCAGACCGACTGAAAAATGGACAGCAATATTTTTCTATGGACCAACGGATGATCATGCGTTTTTACCATACATTTACATGTGTGTCCAATCCAGTCTGGTTTTTTTGCAACCACTTTAACACTGACAGGGGTGCTTCAATAGATCAGCTTTAATTTATTTTTACAAATCTTTATCCTAAAAGAAAAAAAAAACATTTTTCTGTAACTGATTATAACATGAGCTGGGGTTTGGTTTAAATTTGTTAGTGTATTTAAATAAGCTAATACATTTCACATTCCCCACCCCCAGACTGACAATGCTGCTGTCCAAATTTGCCTCCTGTGCTCATTTCTCCAGAGTGGAGGAACACTACTATAGAAGGTGTATTACTGGCTAGATCACCAGGTGAAAACTGAGGGAAGAAAAGAAAAGAAATGTAGCCACCACATCTAATGACTGGGTACAACCAGCCTGCTGGATTTTACATGCAGTTATCGCTAGCAGCTGATATAGCTGCTAGCAATAATCATTGTCTTCTCCCGGGGGGGGGGGGGGGAGTAGGGAGGAACCATAGCTCGTGGGGGGGGCGGCGGAAACTGGGAGAAATGATCGTTTGGTGGGAGGGATTCCCCTGTCATTGGTGTTGATGGCAGAATTGAGCAAATTTCTTTCTTGCAACCTATGGGTGCAGGAAGGAAATTTACACCATCTGTGGCCTGCCTTACTCTCTCTTCTGAGGCTTTCTACTTGTATTTGATGTTAGGTAGGGGGCTAGGGAGTTAATTTTTGAACCAAATAATCTGTGTCCAGTAGAGCACTGGTTAAAGTTTGTAGGAGTTTACATTCTCCTCTGACTGTGCTATGAGGCTTCATAACCCCTGACCCTCTGTCTGGACAGCGCTGATTGGCCCTGTGCTGAACACATGCACTCTCCCAAGAAAACAAAAACAAAAACCTCTCTAGCAATACACACCAAACTGAGCATGTGCAGAGTGCCCCCAAGGCTCTGTTCTATCAGCAGATGGATTGGGGACAGTAGAAGAAGGGGAGAATCAGAGAAGTCATGATCAAACATCCCATTTACACAATGCAGAGGATTAACCCCTTAGGTTCCACAGTGAGTATAACAAGCATGCTTTACTGCATATACAGACTGGGTTTAGTAACACTTTAAGCATAACTGCAGTATATAGGCTGGCAGTTCACTGAATTTTATTACAGCGTGGCGAGGCGTTTACAACTAGACTCCAGAATAAGCAAATACAGTCTAAATACAAGAGGCATTCTAGCTTGAATCTTGTGCTTTGTGTATTTCTTGCAGGTCAGTGCAAATATCTAGCATGAAAATGTTACAGCTTCCTGTAATAAAGACCAGTCACTGCTGCTGCTCCTTCTTGTGCAGGGTGACTGGTCTTGTAGTTTTCTGCAGACACTATTTACTGGGTGGAGCCTGCTGTGTCCCTCCCCCAGCTCTGCTCTCTGAACAGTCTATGTACAGCACAGGGATGATGCCCCTACCTATTTTACAAAGTAATATCTGGGTTTGAAAATGCAATGGGTACACACCAAGCAGATTTATATCCTTGGTGGCTCCAGTGGTGTATTTAGGTTCCGTGCTGCCCTAGGCAACACAAAAATTGCCCCCCCCCCCCACGGAGAGACCCTGACACCGGCCAACATCCTCCTCCCCCACGAAGGGAGCCTGACATTGACCGACAACACCCCAGCCCCACCCCCTCCCCCTCCCAAGAGAGCCTTCCACTATTTCCACCCCCATACACTGGCAACCCCCCACCCCATCAAGAGATGAGACACTCACCTTCACGGCTCCAGACATCCCTGGGAACAAGATTCAGGCTCTACATCATCAAGCAGCCCACAGCCTCTCTCAGATCCCACTTGGTCCCCATGCTGTGTGTGTCCCTTTCCTTCTTTCAGGGGAGGGCACTGCCCCCCTGAAAAATGCCGCTCTAGGCAAATGCCTTGTTTGCCTTGTGGTAAATACACCCCTGGGTTGCTAATCCATTCATATTTCAGTGACCGTTCTTGTGCCCAGTGCTTTAACCACTTGCCATCCGGCCGCTGTATATAAACGGCTGGATGGTGGCACTCCAGAAGTGGGTTGCTGTTCATAAACGGCAGCCGCCGTTGTGGACTGTGCGCGCTCCCTGGGAGCGATCCGGTGCCCGCTGTGTCCTCTGGTCACAGTGAAACACCTCTGTATGAGGTCCCGATCATGTGATCACTGATTGACCAATCAGTGATCACATGCAGAGTAGTAAGCAAGATGTCACTTCTGACATCATTGCTTACTACCTGTGAAATCTGTGAATGATCACAGAGGTCACATGGTACAGGGCTATTCACAACAGCCTTGTTCCATGTGACAAGCTGTGACCAATCACAGCTCACACAGTAGTTCTCAATGGTTGCAAGAATGCAGCCAGAGAGAAGGAGAAATTATTGCTTTTACAGCCTTTATGGGTGTAAAAGCAATCCGTGTAAAAAAAAAAAAAAAAAAAAAAAAATCTTCATCACCCCCCCCCCCCCCCCACAAGTAGTACAATGTCACCATGGTGGCACTGTACTGCTAGGGTGACCGTATATAGAAAAAACATAAATAATATAAAAAAGTAAAATTAAAAATTAAAAAAAAAAATTTTTTTTAATTATAATTATTGGTTATAAACTAATTTTTGTTTTTTGTTTTTTTTTTTTTACTAAAAAGATAACTGAATACATTTTGGCCAAGATTTATGATGAAATATTATTTATTTGCAAAATTTTATTAAAAAAAAACTTTTTTTCAAAATGTTTGGACATTTTCATTTATATAGCAAAAAAAATAAAAATCCCAGTGGTAAATAAATACCACCAAAATAAAGTTTTATCTGTCTCAAAAAATGCTAAAACATTTGTATGGGTACAGTGTTGCATGACCGCGCAATTGTCATTCAAATTTTGATAGTGCTGAAAGCTGAAAATTGGCCTGGACAGGAAGGGGGTAAAATTGTTTGGACTGGAAATGGTTAACCTAATGATCTCAATTACTACGCAGTTTATCATTTCATTAAACAATGAACAACACAGGGAGACATTCACAAAACGTCCACAAGCCTATTCTAAAAAGCAGGTTGGATTGTGTTTTTGTTGATTTGAGGATCTAGCCAAGTTTTGTGTTGTGTGAGTGCGCAGTGCACAGCTCTGTTGTAAGCACTCACGTGGAGCGAGATGAGACGTATCTGCTTCATTACAACTCAATGGCCTGGAGACAGGTACACCTCCAGCTGTTCACCTGACTTACCCCGCAGTGCCTTAGGTTAGCACATGAATGTCGGATGGAAAGAGCAGACGAGCAGCTGACGGGAATTTTCCTCTCTTCAGTCTCTCTGCTGGTTAAATGGCATTGGATGTGATTTTGGGGCCTCTAAAAACTGCCATTGTGCAGACACGCAATAACACAGCGGTAAAGCTGGACTCGGATCCCCTTGTAAGCTGATTAAGTCTGGTTAGCATGCAGCAAAATCCTTGTCAGTTCATAAAGATGAACATCGGATGTTGGCCAGAAAAAGGAGTTCTGTTTGCCAGAGAAAGATTGCAGACATCAGACATGTGAGGAATCACTTGAGCTAATCTTTTGCCTTGATCTGTCACCTGACAACAAAGATATACTCGCTCAGATGTGACTGCTAAATGGGATTACATGGGGTAGTGCCGTGCTTTTACCGCCTCCCAACTGCAACTCCCTTTAGCTGCAGAGGCACCGGCTGGAGGTGTACACATGTGGATGCAACACCTCTGTCACTTTCATTGGGCATAGACAATGACAATTATTATAGTAACTAAGGCTGCTGTGCAGACACCCTGCATGTGTGTGAAATGCGCACGGTTGCAGCATGCTAGTGCAGTGATCAAGGGTTTATAGAAAGGGGTGAGGAGGCAATACAATGCCTCCTCACTTCCTGGCAAATAATCTCTGATGAGCGATTCAAATGCAGATCACTCTTCAGAGAGCACCACAGTTGTGAAAAAGCTCTTTTGTATATGTGTGGAAGCAGGGATGGTCGTCCTTAATGTCCTCACATACACTATATTGCCAAAAGTATTGGGACGCCTGCCTTTACATGCACATGAAATTTAATGGCATCCCAGTCTTAGTCCGTAGGGTTCAATATTGAGTTGGCCCACCCTCAAGCTATAGCAGCTTCAACTGTTCTGGGAAGGCTGTCCACAAGGTTTAGGAGTGTGTCTATGGGGATGTTTGACCATTCTTCCATTCATTTGTGAGGTCAGGCACTGATGTCGGAAAGGTGGGCTCATATTCTCTGTCTATTCATCCCAAAGGTGTTGGGTTGAGGTCAGGACTCTCTGCAGGCCAGTCAAGTTATTCCACCCCAGACTCGCTCATCTATGTCTTTATGGACCTTGCTTTGTGCATTGGTGCACAGTCATGCTGGAACTAGAAGGGGCCATCCCCAAACTGTTCCCACAAAGTTGGGAGCATGAAATTGTCCAAAATGTCTTGGTATGCTGACGCCTTAAGAGTTCCCTTCACTGGAACTAGGGGGCCAAGCCCAACCCCTGAAATACAACCCCACACCATAATCCCCCCTCCACCAAACTTTACACTTGGCACAATGCAGTCAGCTAAGTACTGTTCTCCTGGCAACTGCCAAACCAGACAGGTCTATTGGATTGCCAGACAGAGAAGCGTGATTGGTCACTCCAGAGAACACGTCTCTACTACTACTGGACTAGAGTCCAGTGGCAGCGTGCTTTACACCACTGCATCTGCATTGCACGTGGTGATGTAAGGCTTGGATGCAGTTGCTCAGCCATGGAAACCCATTCCAGGAAGCTCTCTACACACTGTTGTGTGCTAATCTGAAGGCTACATGAAGTTTGGAGATCTTTAGCTATTGACGCTGCAGACAGATGGCAACTTCTGCGCACTGTGCGATTCAGCATGCGTTGACCTCACTCTGTCATTTTACGTGGCCTACCATTTAGTGGCTGAGTTGCTGTTGTTCCCAGTTGCTTCCACTTTGTTATAATACCACTATCAGTTGGAATATTTGGTAGCAAGGAAATTTCACTGATGGACTTATTGCACAAGTAGCAACCTATCACGGTACCATGCTTGAATTCAGTGAGCTCCTGAGAGCGACGCATTCAAATGTTTGTAGAAGCAGTCTGCATGCCTAGGTGTATGATTATGTACACTAGTGGCCATGGAGGTGATTGGAACACCTGAATCCAATGATTTGGAGGGCGGGCCCAATACTTTTGGTAATATAGTGTATGTGTCCATGGTGGCATAGGTTTGTGTCCTAAGAGCATGCTTACTGCACTGTAACAGACAGCTCCTGGTTGCTGTTTGAGTGGCATCCAATGGCATGGGCTTCTGATCATGTGAACATTGACATTCCATAGCAGTGATCCCAAAGTTAATACCCAGGTAAATGAGCCAGGAAGGGTGGAAATGGGTTTATAATGTTTACTGAAATGTCTGCCCAGAACAGGCGGTGGGATTAGATCATACATTAATGCGATACTAAGGGTTTTTTTTTAATAAAAAAAGGTTATATTTACCCACTTTGTGCAAAGATGTTGCACAGACAGGTCCCTTACCACCTTCTCCTTTGGCAGTCTAACTTCTTTGGTTGTTTCCTTTAATAATGAATGGAACCTGAACAAGAGCGGTGTGATTTGTCAGTTTTGCAGAGCGTTTTTGGGATCGCAGGCAAACTCCTAGATGTGAACGTAACTTAAATCTAAAGAATGCATTAAGGTAAAAACTGTTTAGACTATAAAACCACTCTTATATATGGCCTACATTCAATATTTGGCTTTGGCCCTATGTTTGTTGAGAATGCCCTTTTGGAATGAAATAATCTTGAGTAAGTGATCTTTGCAGGCCAACCATTTTATAAAAATGATGCATTTGTAAGCCTAGATAAGAGCATTAAATAAAGCCATGCTATGTATAAAAATAGTTTGTACTGCTTTATCAGCTTGCTTATAGTTTGAGAATGGTAGACAGTGTTTGGTCTGCATTTCTAAAAATGTAAATATTTCCAGAGAAGAAAATTTCACCAAGAATAAAGGACAATTCTTTTTAGAAACTCATAATAGCCAGCATTTTAGATAGACCTAAGCTGACCATAAATTAATAGTTTTTTTTTATTTTTGTTCAACTGGTAGGTTGAGGCTCGGTTCGCTCTGCCGCAACCTGAGATCTGACTTGTGAGACCCCAAGTCACTTGACGTGTAAAATCCCATGTTCGTTAATGAGAGCTGTCATAATTAGCACTACTGAAGTCGCTCTGACTTTAGAAAAGGTTCCTGTACTACAAGGCTTGTAGCCCATAGACTTTAATGGAAGTCTTCTCCAAGTCGGATCCTCATTTATATTGATGGGATTTGGATCCAACATTATAGGAAGATTACCCAGGCAAAGTTGCATGGCATGAAATCAGGTTGCATCTAAGTCATACTCAAGTCGCCAGCAAATCGCCTAGCAAAGTCGCACCGTAAATCGTGCAACTTTCAGGTTGCGGTAGTAGGAACTGAGCCTGAAAGAAAAAAATTATCCAGTTCACCCATCCACAAATTCGATGTGAACGGGAGAATCACTTCTGCTGTGCTATTGTGTGCTGATGGCGGCCAACTTTCTGTGCTGTCAGAATACAATTATCAGTGCTGCCGGCTATAGCCAGCGGCCCTGATCATTAGTGAAAAACCCGACAGGCTGGTTGTATACAAGCCGATTTGATAGGTTGACTTGTGTAAAGCCAGCCTGCCCATCCATGGACCCTGCTGTTCCCTGCTGAACGAGCCAAATTTCAATCCATGTATGGCCACCCTTAGCCATACGTATACATTTCTGTTAGACAGCACAGCAAGGAAAGTGACACCACATTCTCTGTTAAGCTGGCCATACGCTATGCAAGTTCAGGCTGGTTCCTATGTCCCTTTTATCTTTAACTGGCATCCTCAGAGACAAATGGTGACATTTGGAAGGGGGGGGGGGGAGTTCCAGCTTCCAGGGTGAAGTTACAGTATGTAGCTGTACCTCTGGGTGTCTTCTATAACATATTGGTAACAGTGTTTGTACATAAGATCAGTACAGGTGCATTTCAAATAGAAAGAAAGGCAAGACTTTTTTTAAGATTTGGACAGAGAGGAGAAAGATTAGAAAACTTGCCAATTTTATTGCTGTCTGTACCCCCATTAGGGAGATTCCCCCTTCCTATGTGTCATGTTTACTGCTCTCACCAAGAGTGAAAGTAAAAGAAATTCAAATCTTGTATTGTCAACAGAACAAGTATAGAGGGGAAATCTTCCAATGGGGATACTAGCTTTGATGACCTTAGTGACAAGAAAGGATTCCCTCACATTGGAAGGATTCCCTCTTACTTTCTATTCTAGCTATGGAACAAGAAGTAATGGGAAATCTTCCTAATGGGACAGAGATCAGCAAGAGTGAGAGTAAAAGAAAACCACAAATCTTGGGTTGTTACCGGAATAGGAATAGACTCTGGTGACAACCAGGGATTCTCTTACTTTCGAGGGATTTCCTCTCACTTCCTATTTTGGCCATGGGAAAGAAAGTAAATGGACATATCCCCAATGGGACAGAGATAGCTGACCCATTGGACACAAAAAAAAACCTCCAATCAAATTTTCAATTTTCATAGAAAAAGGGAAATGTTCAGTTCAGTCAGAACTTGCAAATCTTTTTTGTTGGGTGAGTATTTAATTTGTCTTTTTTAATTGATCATTCCATTTGCCATCATTGATTGATTGAATCTGAATTCAATAGAATGGTAATCAATGAGGACTTTCAGCAGCATTGGCCATTTCCACCATTAACCCAATAGTGTGGTATCCACACTGGAGAATTATGTAACACATACAATATTTGAGGGGCCAACACCAATTTTAATAAGATTGGCATGCCCTGCCGCCATTAACAGCAATTTACACCAACTGGCACACTTGTGTTTTACATTTTGTAGAATGGTTTTAAGTTTCAAAGAAATATAATCTAGAAGATTTCATGTCACCTCTATGCCTAGGTGTTCAAGGAGGTGACACACACGCTTTCCCTGAGATATATCTTCAGGCAAAGCCCTGGGTAGTGTATCTAAAGGAAAAAGCACTGACTTTATTTATAGAAAAGCCTGAATATAGGCCAAATCTTTCTATAAGCTGCATTACTGTGTTTAAAGAATCTGCCATATCACCGAAATATAATAAAGTGTCGTCTTCATAGAGAGAAATTTTATCCTCCCTATCTCCTCAACAGAAGCCAGCTATATCAGGTGATGCCCGAACCATTGCTACCAGAGATTCTAATGCCAAAGCGAAAAGTAATGGCGACAGAGGGCACCCTGTTTAGTCCCTTGATATAGGAGAAAGGTCACAGATAAGGAATCATTGACTCTGACTCTTATTCTCACCTTGGGATCAGAATATAATAATTTTATTCATTTGATGAAAGGGGAGTTGGATGTTTAGAAATAATCTCATGTTTAAAGCAGTGGACCTAAATGGAATAAAACCAGACTGGTCTAAGTGTATCAATATACGGATAACCTTTGCCAGCCTAGTAGCCAATACCTGGGCTAGTAATTTAATGTCTGTGTTAAGCAAGGAGATAGGTCTGTAAGTATCTGGTTGCAAGAGATCTTTACATGGTTTGGGGAGCACTATCACTATGGCTTCATTCATAAAGGGGGGGGCTAAGCGACTGGTCTCTTTGGCAGCATTCAATGTTTCTAAAAGGGGAGGTAATAGAAGCTCACCATGTCTTTTATACATTTCTGCAGGTAGGCCATCAGTCTCCGGGATCTTGCAATTGGCCATTTTTTCTGCCACCACTGAGAGCTCTTCCAATGCAAGAGAAGCGTTCAGCCTCTTAAAATCGTGTGATTTTATTCATAGGTGAGAACGTCGTCATAAAATTGGGAGAGAGCCTTTTCCATGGGGTGCACTTTGGAAGATACAGGTTTCTAAAAAAGTGACAAAAACAGAGGAAATCTGGTTCTGAGCAGTTACTGTTACCCCCAAGAGCTCTTGGATGGCCTCTATGTAGGAAATTCCCTGTTGTGCATGGGCAATTACAGCTAATAAGTGGCTTGTATTCTCCCTTTCTGTCACGGATCCAACCCACGCGCCCACAGCGACTAGCTAACCGAGGCGCGCATGTACGGCCGTGACTTGGGGTAAGAGGGAATAAGGGGGGACTTAATCTGAATATATATAAGACCAGCTGTGATATACTTTCACAGCCCGCAATACCTCTGGCCACCACTAGAGGGAGACTCCACTCCAATCCAGCTGGCCGACCACACACAGGCAGATAAGAAACTTATATACAATCTGGTGCATGCCAAGGGTTGAGGAGCAGCCTAGCAATCAACACACCCTTCTAGGATTCCTCCAGCTGTCCTACAAGCTAGAACCCCGGTGTTAATCACTCTTCCACTGTCCACGCACCCCCACACCAGACACACCAGAAACTGTAGCTTGCCACCACCCAACAGTTTTATCCGCAGACTGGTCTGCTGGGCCACCACACACACACACATCTCCGTCTGCCAGATCTGTTACCTTTACAATTTGCATGCAATCTGCCAACACGCAGTGCAATTGCATACAGATTGGCAATGAACTTGACCGAGGATATAAAGACACTGCAATACAATACTAATCTCTATGGAGATATGAGCCCAAGCTTAAGTACTCAGAAGTCACTCATTAATTTTATGATTTAATATCCTGAAAGTGGGCAGTGCATAAAATATGTACAAAGTATAAAGAGTTACAAATCATACAGAAAATACAAGAAGACACACAATTCGATTGGACCAGGAACGGTTTAAATCACCCAGTCAGGGATTGAATTTCTGACACCAGCGTATCAGTCCGATCGCGACAGTACCAATCACTGTTCAGCTGTCGCAATCAGGCGCCATATAACCATTTTCTGCATTTCTCTGGGATTCTACAGAGTCTACAAATACAGTTTTACATGCAGATGTAGCCTACAGTGTGTCCAATCAGAAGGAAGTATTTTCATCTCTCTGAAACTAATATTTTCACTTTTATGAGAGATGATATATATTCCTTTGATCTGTGTATATACGTCAAAGCTCCCAGACACATCGGAACCACCTCTGGTCTCCCGCTGTGTCATG